AGCATAATGAGTTTCAGTTTTGTTCATATTTAATATTTTATTATTTTTTTTTTTTATTCGTATTTTTGAGGCAAGCAGAGGTTGGAGAGGCCCTGCAGATAGCACGAGCAAGAGCAGTGATAAGAATGACCAAGACAATGACGCGGATGCTTTCACTCTCGACGAGAGAAGCTGGCGATGGCGCAAGCAGGCAGAGAGCCAGCGAGTGGATGTGGCTGTGGCTGTAGCTGTGGCAGGCCATAAAGCACTCAATGCCTGTGCAACAGCAGCATCAAAGGGGCATCGATTAACTTAATGAAATTGCGTTGTCCATCGTCGGGGCTGGGGCGAAGCGGGACAGACGGCGTGTAAATTACAGTAAATACTTTAAAGCACTTATGCAGCAGGCGCTGCCAGGCCAGCTAATGAGGTGTGACAATTAAAAGGCGGCAGCTAAATGGGTGCAGCTGAATTGATGATGCCCTGTTAATGAGCATAATCGAAGTATATAGGTTTTGAATGCATGCACACACAGTTGAAGCTCGCTAATTCGGACCGGGACTGATATTAGATCAAGAATATTATGTAATCCATTAATCGCATAGACGAAAAACAGATCTCTACAAGAACTGAAAGGAAATTAATTTTTGGGCACACTTTAATGGCAATTACAACGGGAACAGTGTATTGGGCAACTGGTTATTGTTTTATTCATATATTTGAGAAGGTGGCGTTAAGGTTGTTGACTGGGTTGGGCTAGCAGGCTTTACCTTGTATTTGCTTTGGGGTCTTAGTTTTGTTGTTGTTTCCGTTGAGGCAGCAGCTTGTGTTTAGGTTTTAGTACGTGCTTTGGTATTTGGAATCAGAATGTGACTGATAACGGGGCGCCGTTGATAAGGCAAATCGTCCAACTCGCAGAACAGGCGCAATTTCGGAAGCGGCAGCGATAGAAGCAGCCGTAGCTGAGCATAAACAAATTAAAGCAATGCGACTGGAAAGGGTATTTCTAACGAGAATGCCAATCGAAACAATTTTCCGGCTTTTCACACACGCGACGGCGTCACCGGCAGCGGCAGAGGTTGCGGCGTCTACGTTGACGTCGACACAGGCGGCACGCTTTCTCGGCAAGTTTTGCGTTTGCTTTTTTGGTTTGCTTTTGCTTTCCTTTGCTTTGCTTTGCTTCTGCTTCTGCTTATGCTTCTGTTTCTGCCTTTGCCTCTGTTTGTTGCTGTTGTTGTTGTTGCTGGTGCTGGTGCTGTTGTTGTCCGACACCAATACTATATTTGTTGTTTTTCTTTTCAATTTGACCGCATTTGTCGATTTTGGTTTTTCTTATTTTGTTGTTGTTGCTGCTGCTACTATAGCGGCTCTCTTTGCTTTTTTGCTTTTGGCCAACAAAACGCACACTTACAAGCACTTGCACACACAAACGCACACTTTACTTGCGCGCAGCAAACTCACACTTACACACACGAAAGAGCAAGAGCGCGGCGATCGAGCACAGAATGCCAAAAATTTAAAACACTTGATTTAATTGGCTTGCACAGCACGCACGTTCAATTTAAATTAGTTGCGGCTCGTACGCGTATTAATTAACAAGACTTTTAAATAATTTATACGTCCGCGCTAGCAAAAAGGGGTATACACCCACGTCCGTTCGTAACACAAATGCTGTTAATTAACAGGCGCAGTTTTTAACATGGTGTAACTTACAGAACTCTGGTAGTATTAACAGACTGTTTTGGTCAACATGGCTGCATTTCGATAAGTCTTTCCAACATAGACGAAATAATTCTGTTAGACATTTGTAATCGATTCCTCTCGTAAACTTTATTCGTGTGACGTCACAAGTGTTAGCAATAAATAAGAAATAGGATTATTTTTTATTATTAATATGAAGAAAAGTTGACAATGAAGTTTTATTAATTTTTTTAAAGCCTGTTTTAGTACCGCCTAACGTAAGTTATATACTTTGTTGATGAATTAAACTTTTGCACGCGGAGGTTACACGAGGTTCGTTCTAGCCGCAGATAACCGGCAAATTTTAGATAACTCGCGCGCTTCGAGCCATGATTATTACGAGAAAAGTTTTAAAATTGCTAAACTACCGTTTGAAATGCAATGCTGGAGCGCGTTTAATAAACCGACGTTGCCTACAAAGCAACATCAACAACGATGTGCCCTCCGTGGAGGTCAGTTTCAGCAATGGGTAAGGCGCTGTGCAAACCATTCGAAAATAAGTACTTAATTTCATAATAACTCCCTTCGTCAGGCGTAAAATGACCATTAGCTCGGGCAAGCTGGCGCGTTTTGCCAATGGCACTGCAGTTTGTCAAATGGGCGACACAGCGGTTATGGTCACTGCCGTAGCCAAGGCGAAGCCAACGCCTGGACAGAATTTCATGCCCCTCGTGGTGGACTATCGACTGAAAAACGCTGCCTCTGGCCGCATACCGATGAACTTTATGCGCCGCGAGTTGGGACCATCGGAAAAGGAGATACTGTCGGCGCGTCTTATAGATCGTTCGCTGCGTCCACTCTTTGCCAAGGACTATCGCAATGAAACGCAGTTGGTGTGCAACATGCTAGCCATGGATGCAGTACACTCACCCGACGTGCTGGCCATTAATGCGGCATCCATGGCACTCTCATTAAGCGACATACCCTGGAATGGGCCCATAGGCGCTGTGCGGTAAAGAGTTGTGTAATTACTTTATAAAAAGAGAATTCTAATTAAATTCCCCATGTGATCCTTTCAGAGTTGGCCTCAGTGATGGCGAGGTGCTGATTAATCCGACAAGACGTGAACTACAATCCTCTCAACTGGATTTAGTGGTATCGGCCACCAAGCAGAATCTGGTGGTTATGCTGGAGGGCAAGGGCAATGTGGTCCTGATGCAGGATCTGCTGAAAGCCATCAAGCAGGGCACACGTGAGGCGCAGTTCATAATACACGAAATTGAACGACTCCAGAAGGCCTATGGACGACAGAAACGTGACGTTGATGAACTGCCCGAGGCACAGGCAGAGCTGGTGCAAGCAGTGAAGAGCATGTGCGAGATGCGGCTTCGAGAAATCTTCCAGGATGCGTCACATGACAAAATCTCGCGCGATACCGCTGTCAACGAGGTGCGTGCGAATGTCATTGACAAGGTGTGGTCCTCCTATCCAGACCTAGATCCCGCTGCTATCGGAGAAGAGTTTAACAAGACCTGTCGAGAGATTTTCCGAGAATTGATCTTCGAGAGCAATCGAAGATGCGATGGCCGGGACTACGACAGCCTGCGCAAAATAAACTGTCAGGTGGACATGTACAAACCGTTGCATGGCTCCGCCTTATTTCAACGCGGCCAGACGCAGGTCTTCTGCACTGTCAGCCTCGACTCGCCGGAGAGCGCCATGAAGCTGGACACGTTGGCGGCACTGGACAGCGGCGGACTGAAGGCGAAAAACTTTATGCTCCACTACGAGTTCCCTCCATATGCCACTGGCGAGGTGGGCCGCATTGGTCCACTAGGACGCCGTGAGCTCGGTCATGGTGCTCTAGCTGAACGTTCCTTATTGCCCACGCTGCCAAACGATTATCCGTTCACGGTTCGCCTGACGTCAGAAGTGCTGGAGTCAAATGGCTCCAGCAGCATGGCCAGCGTGTGCGGCGGTTCGCTAGCGCTAATGGATGCCGGTGTACCGATCACTGCGCCTGCCGCCGGTGTGGCCATTGGTTTGGTCACCAAGTATGAGAACAATGACACGAAGCATCTGCAGGACTATCGCATTTTGACCGACATACTGGGCATTGAAGACTACATGGGCGACATGGACATGAAAGTGGCGGGCACACGCAAAGGATTCACTGCCATTCAAGCAGATCTAAAGATACCTGGCATACCGCTTAAGGTCGTTATGGAATCGTTGCAAAAGGCCACAGATGCCAAGTCCAAAATACTAGATATCATGGGCGAAACAATCCGGGAGCCACGGTAAGTGCACCAACATCTTGACTGTCTCTTCTCTAACCCTTGACTTCCATTTTCTGAAGCAAATACCGCAAGGATTGCTGGCCAGTTAGTGAAAATCTCGTTGTCGAGCCACATCAACGTTCGCAGCTAATTGGACCGAGCGGGCTGCACATGAAGCGCATCTACCTCGAAACGGGCACCACTCTGACCCCTTCCGACGACAGCAATTTTACGGTTTTTGCTCCGTCCCAAGCGGCAATGGATGAAGCCAAAGAGATGATCGAAGGATACATGCACAAGGAACGCGTACCAGATTTGGAATTCGGTGGAATTTACACTGCCACAATCACCGAGCTGCGGGATACAGGTGTCATGGTTATATTGTATCCCGGCATGCCCCCAGCACTGCTGCATAACTCGCAGCTGGATCAGCGAAAGATTGCGCATCCGTCGGCGTTAGGTTTGGAGGTAGGCCAGGAAATACAGGTCAAGTACTTTGGCCGAGATCCCGTCTCCGGGTTTATGCGGCTCTCGCGCAAAGTGTTGCAGGGCCCCGCCGTGGGCATTGCACGCAGTCTGAACAAGGCGGCATCCGGGGAAACCAGCACCTGAGCTTGCACGAAGTTGGCTCTGCTGATCCCTTGTAGTGTTGTACAGTTTAGAATGTTGTTAATCTGTTGTTAAACATGCGATTATATTATTTTTAAGTTATAAATTTCGTGTATGTACAGTAAACAAATCAACTTAAATACGAGTTATCTGTAGTAGTTCTTTAGCATACATTTGAATGTACAGTTTAAGAAATTTGGTACGATGAAAGTGGATGATTGCATCCGGAGGAAACTTAAGATTAAACAATTTTAAATTTGTATTGGCATTCGGAACTCATTTATAACTTAAATGCCAAAGATATTTTATTTGAAATAAATCTGCTGGCTAGGCCGTGAAATAACGTAGATTACAAAAATATTGCTACGGATAAAAAAATTTATTCATCTTTGCCTAGTTGTGTTCATATTCAAAAAAATAAACTGTTTGTAAAATAAGTATAAATCCGCCTCTGAGCACAGAGCAAAAAAACTCTAATCTTAGAATTATTGCAAAATAATTTCAATTAACTTAAAACTTATTCATAACTTGGTTTGAATAAATCGGTATTTTGTCACAGTATCACACAGCTAGGATACGATAGTGTACAAACAGCATCTAGATGATAACTCGATAGTAGGAATCGGAAATGCTGTACAAGGCCACAATTGGTGTCTTGGCATCATTCAAATGGTCCACGATCTCCTCGTATATTTCCGATATATAACGTTTGTATTTCGGATATCTGGAAATCAAAATATGGTAGTTAATACTGTCGAATCAGAGTCTGTTGACATACTTCACCAGAAGATCAGAAATACTTCTAAGATCATCAGACGATATCTTACCTTTCGATCACAAAAGTCATTTCGGGTTCAGTCTCTTTTTTCCGCAACACTCGGGGATTGATGGCACCGACTATGGCATTTACCACTGCTGGGGGCAACTCCACCACCAGCACCTCAAAGGATTCCTTTTTGATGAACTGCGACAGTGTTGAGCTCATTTGCTGCGCAACCTGATTTTCCAATCGCCTTCGATAGTTGGCTGTGGGCTTGTCGTGGGTGAGGAATGTTACCTGCACGGACGGCAGTTGACTGTAGCTGTTCTTGATATTGGACACATTGGACGCTGACAAGCTGACGCCACTCTCACCACGCCCGCTGCCACCGCCACTGCTGCTCATGTTGGAGAGCTGACTGGTATAGTCTGGACCTCCGCCAACCGTTCCCCCATTGATGGCCTCGCTGCGCTGCATTTTCTGTATGAACTCGACCAGCTCCGCACGAGTCAGATGGCGCTCCTGGAAGCGGTCACGATCAAAGGAACGCACACGCAATGCCCCATTCTCTGCGACCAATATGACGTGCAGTGCACCCAGACGTGACAGGTCCTGCGCCTCGTCACCGCCACTGCCGACGGTCTCCACGATGCCGCAACGTATGCCCACGGACCAGAGTAAACGCATGATGTAAGTGACATCCTTGAGCGGGGGCCGTGTGCCACACACGCAAATGCCAATATCGATGGCACGGCAGTCTTTGGCATAATCCTTGCCCACGGCAGCAACCAGCTTGTCCAAAGACAAGGTGAGTCCCGCGCCGCTGAGCATGCCACGCGTCGGCAACGCCGCATTAAAGCTCTGCGCCTGTTTTTGAAAGTCATGCAACATGGCATCATAGCGCTGGCCCATGGCCAACACAGAGGGCTGTCCGGAACGATTTGGTTTGAGGTCAGCGGTCATTTGCCAGACAATGCCACCGGTACTGGCACTTTCAAAGTTAATAGGAAGCCCAGCCCAAATGTTTATCGGACACTGTGGCAATGCAAGCAAGCAATGATAATCGTAAAAATTCACACTCACGTAAAGGAAATACTCACCGTCACGCCGAGACTGTATGCTAGTCCAATTACGGTTTCCAGTTCACGTAAAGCGCTGCGTGCCAAGGAAGCTGCTTCACCCTTGCCGCGCATCAGTGATTTCAAGGCAGATTCATCCACGCTGCTCCTGGAACCAGTGAGCAGAAAGTTTGCTAGCATCATGTCCATCAAAGTCTGTGCCGATGTACGCGACTTTTCCATGATCGCCGTGATGCTTGAATGAAACTGAAAGCGTGAAATACGCCCCTCAATGAAGTCTAGCAATCCTTCGAAGAGTGAGCTATACTGCGACTTGGGCACATTGCAAAATATTAGAATAGAGCGCAGCAAATTTGTATGATTCATTCGTATGGCGATGTTTCGGTCGCGCAGTCGGGGCAGCTCGTTGATTATTTCGAATGCCAGTGAGAGCAGCTCCGCATCCACCAGTTGGCTACTTGTGCTAGGGGTTATGATATCGAAGCAGCATTCGTAATTCTGTTTCGGATGAAAATTGAAGACGCGCTCCTCGCGATAAACACGATCCACGCAATAGCGACGTATGAGATTCACCCCATTCATGGTCACGTGCCGCGCGAATTGAGTACGCAAATCGGTGGGCAACAGCACCACCGAACCAGAGTGGGTCATTAGATGAACGGCGTTGCTATTGGCACTGGAGTGGCTGTTGCGCGAAGATAACGGTGACAACAATGGCGAGTCGACCTCAATGGCGCCGTGTTTGCGAAACACATTGACTACCTTAGCCTTGACAAATTCGATGAGCGGATTGAGCGAAACTATGTCATCAATAACAATGGCCGAGTTCCATGATTTCATAGCACGGCTACTGCTTAGATGGTAGGTGTGCTCCAGTACTGCGTCGCTTTCCTGTTGCAGACAACGCGCGACAAGATTTTTGTAGGCTTTGCTTTGTGGATTGGCCAAGGCATGCCGCAGCATCTCCTGTAACTCATTAGCCTCTAGCTCAGCAGGAGGCACAAGGTCCGAGACAAGCAGCTCCTCGGCTGTTGGTCGTTGAGCAGGATCGTGGTTAAGCAGCCAGCGCAACATCTGATAATAGAAATTATTTTAGTTTTCTATAAAATTTACACATCTATATCTCACCTTGACCGTCTTCTCGTATTTGGGATCCTGCAACATGCTCTTCGGTATGACTATGGACGGATTTCTTAAAGCCATTATTGTCTGTGCGCGTTCCATGCTTGTGTCAAAGGGCGGCTGACACATTTCGAACAGTATAATGCCCAGTGTGTACATGTCAACCTTTTGATTGTATACGGACTTGGAGGCATTGCCCGTCAGCTCTGGTGCCACATAAAGCGTAGTGCCTACTTTACCCGTACCTGTGCCCTCCTCAGTCGAGGTAACATGTTGAACGGTTGAATGCGACGGATACTCGGCTAAAAACAGCACACATTCAGTCACATAGATATACTGTTAAACGTGCTCACATACCGTGCGATTGTAGCGCTAGAAAGCTCGTGGTAGCCAGACCAAAATCGCCGATTTTAATTTGATCATGCGAGTCCAAGAATATGTTGACCGGCTTCAGGTCCCGATGTATAATGCCTTGTTGATGTATGTGCGACAAGCCCTCGGCAATCTCTCGAAACAAGCGCCACAGCCGATCGGTGTTTTCATAGAGATTATCGTCGATGGCAGTGCTAAAAAAAAAAAAAAAAAAACAGAGTTCATTTCAGGACAAGTTTTCTATGAAATGTATTCGTTAAGCTAACCGTAGTGTGCATTTCTCACAGAACTCCATTTGAATATACATTACTTGCATCTGTGGGCGCGGCGAATTGCCTTGATTGTGCTGCAGTGCATCATCTTTCTCGGTATCTTCACTCTCATCGTCGTTGTCGTAAACGGCTACTTTGCCATTTGAGTCCACAAACTCAATGCCATCGGAGTCAGAGTCATCCATATTGGCTCTGCCACAAAATGTGAAATAAATTGTAAACAATTCAATGTGTTTTACGACCAACTATTTACATGTAACCATTCCACATGCTCGACGAGCTTTCCGTCTCTTCCTCTTCAACGGTCATTCCAAGCTGCGGTGATTTTGCAGGCTTTGTGCTCAACTCCTGACTCTGCGACCAATCGCCACCCAGCACTTTGTCCAATTCAGCGGCATCTGCATCGCTAACACTTTCAATCCAGCTGTTGAAATAGCGCACCACATTCTCATGATTTAGGCGTGACAGTAGCTCCACCTCGCGAGTCATCTTCTTGTACAGCTGACGACTGCGGGCGGGCAGTGGTATACGTTTGATGGCATATTCCCGATTGTCCAGTATATTGCGAACCTTTAGCACATCCCCGAAGGCGCCTTTGCCCAAATACATGAGCACCTCGAACTCGGTGCGCAATCGAGACTGGCTCAGCGCTAAGGTGGGTATTTGAAAGGGTACCACACCACGTTGCACGGCTACAGCCTGCTCGGATCTGGGCAATAGAGAGGTACGATTCTGCGTGTGCTGCAGCGTCAGGTGTTGCTGTGCGTTGTCCACGTAGGTACGTAGAAAGGGATGCTCCAGTAGCTCAGAGGCGGACAAGGTACGATCCGAATTGCACCTAGAATGGTTAGAATTTTTATTAAAAATATCCACTTTGTCTTTTACTTGAGCTTATCTTACTTATCGACGAAATCACGCATCTCGCAGCTATGGGTGGGCATCAGTGCTTCGACTAGTGCACCTAATGCTGGCAAATCGCCACGATTGCTGCCTTGGTCAATTCCTCCAATCAGCTCAAGCAAGTTGGGAACCAGCGAGAAGTCCGTACAACGTATGTTTCCAGCATTGTCCATAAACACTGTGCTGTCAAGCAAATGGCTATGTGAGACCCCCTTATTGTGCAGGAATACCAGGGCTTCCAATACACCGCGTGCCACCATGCGAGCACCATCCATGCACCAGCCCAACGTAGAGGAGATGCTATAAACACTTGTGCCTAGCAGAAAGTCCTGCACCAGATAGACCAGTAAGCCCTCCTTGCGTTTGATGCAGAGCACACATTCGTATTGAATGAGATTCTTGTGCTGCAACTGTGCCAGAGCTGCCACCTGTTTCTCTATGGAGGATATCAACTCATCCACTCGATGATTACCCAAGCACTTGGACTCGGAGCTCCAGTGGCACTTCCCATTAGCACTGCATGGCTGCTCTATCTGTGAATACTTGATGTTCCACTCAGTAAGGTACAGCAGCTGGCCAGAATGGACATCGACGCCGGTGTAGGCAATACAACCACGCTGCGAATGACCTGAAAGTGTGAAAGGGTAAGCTTCAAGCCTAGTTGATAGTAGTGGTAATACTTACCCAAGCAGCAGGCACGTTGAATTTGTCGACCCACCTTGTAAAAGGAGAGCATTTCTGTATTTCGATGATCCAGGCACTTGTTGGGATATGTGTAGCCGCGATAGTAGGGCGAGGAGTTTTCAGAGCTTTCCGAAGAGCTGGGATGACGATTGTTGGACTCACTCATGCTGCGTCTTGGTTCGCCGCGTCGCTTGGCCTCCGTTTTGAATATTTCTTTGCGACGCTCCACCTCATCCATTAGAGTTTGACGCTCTATGGTTTCCTTTTGCCTTTGCAAGTCCTTTTCCTCCTGTTCTCGCTTTTGCTTGGCCTGCAGCATTTCGTCATAGAATGAACCCTTCGGTGGTTTGTTGTGCTGCAGCAGAAAATCGCGAACCGTCTGCGCCAGCTCGTAAATCATGACCTCGCCCAGCAGCTCCTGGGATTGCGCCTGCAGCTGGGCGAGCAGTTCCTCTAACAGCTGATCCGATATGCCCTTGGACTCCTCCAGCACTATTTTTGGCGCGCTATATATACAACAATCCAAAGATTAGTTAATTTAACATAACCCGATGATAAAACCCAACTTACACCTTTGGATATTTGGATGGGCATGTCACGTGGAGCTTGGTGCAGACATAGGCCTGTGGCAAGCCATTAGAAGAGTCTCGCAATGGAGTTAGCAGTATGCGTATGTCCGTTGGCTTCCACTGCGAGGCATTACTCTGAGGTCTTAGGTCTTCCACATCGCCGCCGAATATGGACTGGAAATGGCCGGCGTTTATTTCATCATATTGCAATAGGGCTTGTATAAATGAAACTTACTTTTATAACCTCCAGTTCCTGTGTTTGTCGTTCGCGAAATGATTCCTTCGCTGCCATTTAACTGTAAACTTGTTCATTAAATCTCAATAAAAAAAAGTTCACGTCTTCGCGGTTGCAGTGTGAATTTAAAAAAATACTGGAGTCTCGCCGTCTGTGTTGGTGTATTTACATGTGCATGTGTGTGTCTGTTTTTTGTTATGAATGTTGCAGCCGGTGTATTTTTTCTGCGTTAGCAGCTGCTTCATTGCTGGCAAGTTTCTGCATCGCTTATAAGCTTGCCTTTACATCCAAAGTGTGTCGAGTTAATGTTGATTGTTAGTAAACGTGGTTTAATTGCGTAAAAATGGCAACTTGTTGCTCTTTTCATTAAAAGTTTTCACTCGCGTGTTGTGTGTGCGTAGTTAACCAGCTGTATAACACTTAACATTACTTGTTTGCCAGATAACATAGATTTTCCAGCAACATCGATACTTTGCGCATAACATTTTTGAGTATTTAAAAGAACAAAAAATACGGTCACTCTAGTATCTTGACAGTGTAACGGTGTTTTGTCTGCGACATTTATTATATATTGCAATATTTTGTGTTGTTAATTTTTTTATTTTGTTTTTAACCAATTTATTTATGTAAAAATGGTACAAACACGAGTTGTAGTGTACCTCAACCAAACACCAAATAAAAAACAAGCAAATGGTACAGGGAAAACAGAATTCTTCCAATATGGCGGCGAAGTAAGCGTCTTGAATGATAAAACTTTGCGACTTTTGTGCAGTCAAAATTCGGGCAAACCTCAGGTGTTTGTGGCGCAGAAACTGCACTTTGATGCGCTCTCTTCTCAGAAAAATGATGAACACAGAGAGCGCGAGATAAGCACATTACTTCACACCCTATTCATGGATCGTAAGGATTGCCTGCTTATGCATCTGTCTGCTGAGCGTGGCTATCACTTGATGTTTCTCGTCGACACGCTCATCATTCAAGTCAATGTGAAGCTTCAGCAGGAGTCCTTGCAGCTGGAAAGTTGCGCTATTCGCTACAAGCAGCTAGTTGAAGGCGCCAGTCCCCATGGCTTGGACACACAATGCAATTTCTGTGACATCAAACATTTGATGGGTTGGCTGCTAAATGAGTATCGCATGCGCACTGCCGTCGCCATGGGTCATGAGGCACTGGAAGTCCAATATATGGTTGCCAGCAAGAGTCACGGAGTTCGCTTTACAGTCAAGTTCCACATTCTGCTCGTAGCCATAGAGGAGATGTGCATTGGTACTCTGTGCGGTCTGCGCTGCTATTTAAGCCATGACCCTCTCACGGCCGCCCTTTCAGTCACGGAATTGACAACGTACATACGTCAAGCGGCTGAGGAGAACAGCAATAAGCCTTTGTATATGCTCTTGGTGTGCCATGTGCTGGTCACTGGCTGTCAGGTGAATTGCAAAAATGTGCAGTTGCTTGGCTTGGCGCACTTAGCCTATAGAAAACAAGACTCTACTCAGGACCGTATAGAAGCTGTGAGTAAATCGAATATGTTACCAATCATAATCGGCACTAAATGCTCTCCCATTGCCCATTACCAGGTCAACATTATTCCGGCAGCTAACTTGCCCAAAACCGATGCTATGATACTACTAAAAGAGCTGAAGGTTTGCCACCAGGAAATTAACGATCGTTTCCAATCACTACATGATCAATTATTGACGTACATACAGCAGGAACAGCAACTAAGCCATACTCAATGCCAGATTTTAAAAGACCGCAACGAATTGTACGCCACCCTGTGTGCATCCGAGTCGAAACTTACTCACTTAAGGAACCTAGTAGGGAACGTTGCCCGAAACTAATATGATTTTGTAATATGCTTTGCCAATTTTGTATACGGCTATTTTCAACCTTGATTATACAATTTTAAATTATTATAAACACTCAGATTCAAATTGCATTGGAAAAATTTTGTTTATAATTTATTTCAAACTTCCATGTGAACTATGTTGTAGTTCTCCAAATCGAAGCGTTTTTCACATCAATTTACGAGCATTAATCAAAATTTTCTCCGTAAACAATACATACTCTCTAAAAAAAAAAAAAAAAAAAATTGTAAAAATAAGTACAGGAACGTTTCATATCGAAATGGGTGACAAGGTCCATCGCGTTATCGTGTCTCTAACAGACACAATGCACAAGTTATCTAGCAGTAACAAGAATACGCCGATCGATAGCGATGTCAAGCTGATGGACAAGACCACATTGCTGCTGCGCACGCGGAACGGTACGGAAACGAGCAAGTCGGCACGTTACTATCATCAGCTTCAATTCGACGCTGTGGGCTATGAGGACGATCGGCATATGCGGCTAGAGCTGAGCGATCTGCTGGAGCAAATGATTCGACAGCAGCGTCCCGGTTGTATGCTAAGGCTGACTCCTCGTCGCTCGCACAACATTAAGCTGTTGACGCATCTGCTGGTCTCCGACTTGGACAAGATACTGGCCAAGCTGCCTTACCAGCTGCTTGGCATCAATGTGGAATACTATGATGTTCGCAAATTCGATATGATCAACATGCTGTTAAGCTCACATCGAGGCAGGGCACAGAGCAGCAAACGAACGATGCAGACAACGCGTGAGATGTTCCAATGGCTGCATAACGAGTATGCTGTGCTGCGTGCGCGCGCCACTGGCGACGATCACATCAATGTGGAGTTTGTTCTCGCCGATGGCGTCAATAAGTCGCACCAGCTATTCCTGTCGATCTATAACATCTTTGACTGCACCGATCGCACGGACATAAACGACTTCTTCAAGGCACTTTCGGAAGGCAGGCGCAGTAAGAGCACGCTGCTTACCGATTGCATCAAGGAGTCGTTTGATCCCAAGCGACCCACGCGCACCTTAATTACGTGCGAGATGCCATTGGACAAGGAGTCCACATGCGAGATACACAAGTTCCTACACCTGGCGAACTTGGTCTACTCGAGCATTGGTGCCAGCCACGAGAGCACCGATACGCCCAAGGCCGTCGATTCCAAGATAATAGCAAAGGTGAGCAGCACCAGCAGCAGCAGTCATTCAATGGAATCGTGCAAGCAACCCTCTCAACTTGGCTTGATCAACATACCGTTCCGTGCGCGTCCGTTGAACCTCTCCCATGAGGACTATAGCAAATTGGCCTCTTGGTACCATCGGATTGACACGAAGTTTTCGGAGGTGAAGCTCAGCATGGAACGCCATTACAATGTGCAGTATCGCCAGAAGTTTTTGAAAATGTGTAAACAGCTAAACTCCTACCGGATCCTCAACGACAAGAGCGGCGGCGATGCCCACGGTGTGCTGATGAAGAACAGCAGCAGGGATCTGGTGGCGGCTGCCAACTATGCAGAGGCACTCAAGCAATTTCGGCAGCTCGAGCGAGAGGTGAAAAGATGCCAGTTCTCGCCCACCTTGACAACATATATGAGCACCAAGAACTACGAGCTTCTCAATGCTGAGGAGGCTTTACAGCAACAGGAGATAACAAATTTAAGAGAGCACAGAAGTCGAATATAAAATGATCAGAAATCTGGGCCTTTCTTCTTGTAGATCACCGTTATCTGTTCACTGCCCAAGCAGATATGTTCGCAATAATGGACCAATGGATTTATGGATTCAAACAGCAATCAGTCAAAAGTGTCGCAAACCTAACTAAAACTTTGGAATTCGATTTCTCAATTCGTCACTTCTTTTTGAGCTTGAAGTAAAATATATAAATATGGTTTTGTTATTGATAAGACACAAGAGAATAGTTTGATTTCAACGGGTATACGTATAATATATAATATACATAAAATACAATTTATATATTTTTCATATATGTATATATACATTTATATAAATTGAAATATTATTGTCAACAATATGTTCCATAATCGTAGTTTTAGTTGAGCAGCGTCTTCAGCTGCGGCTTCCGGCTAACACAAATAGTTAGTTAAATATGCCAAATACAATGTGTAACAGTTACATAATTCGATATTAAATACACACACATATATATATTAATATCTCTCTATATATATATATATATGTATATATGCTTTTATATGGGCTATACTCCGCTATTATTTCATTTAATGCTAAAAACATTTAAAGCAACATTCAAACAATTATTAGATGCAGAATAGATTTCAATTAACCATTCAATTAAATATTTCGTTAAATATGTCGTGTCTTGGCAATGTTTTGAACAATTTGTTAGTTTAGGATATGTGCGACTTGCAATGCAACTCTATTGTAGTTGGGGTCAAAGGTCACTGGGTTTTGATAGGTTTTTATTTTTACTACATACATATAGTTGGCAGTCGGCAGATCGAATGAAAACACAGTGAACTTAAAGAATACTTAAACTTAAACTTAATATGCGAAAAATGTTTCTGAGTATGTGAAGCATGTCGAACTAATTTCTAAACTATTTTAATCAACAATCCTAAAAGCGCTGCCGAAATACAATCACAAATTAACTGCGAGTTAAATAATTTCTCTTGTAAAATTATTGATGCAGATGAATGAGTTGAATTATATGTAGATCCATATCTTCCATGCCCGAAAACCAACTGAGAATATATACTTGTACTTCAAGCAACGTAAGGCTTTGGACAATTTGAAATGTAGAGTTTCCCTTGTGTTTTCCATTTGCTTCTCTTCATTTTTACAGTCTTCTTCAATTGGAGCCAAAGCTTTGTGTTACCTGAAATCTGTGTATGCTGAAACAATGAAACGCGCTGCATGGGGCTTAAGTGTGTAAGCTTAAAACATATATAAAAATATATCTATTCGTAGTTCTGTTGCTGGAGCTGGGCGCGCTTTCAGGTTGAGAATTGTGTATCGAAGCGCGTCGAGCCTTGTATTATTATTATTATTATTATACAGAAGCTATATTACTGTTATTATTATTATTATTATTATATATTTGTTTCTGATTTTTTTTTTTTTTTTTCAATTTTCTTGTTATAGATTTGTGATTTTTTTTATACTTTTTTCATTATATATTAAATGCTATCATTTGCTGTTGGCTAACGTGATGTCTTCTCCATCTGCTTAGAATAATTTCAGCATAGTCTCTGGCAATAATGGCCCCACCATCCATCCACCCACCATCATTCCAACCATCCATCCACTCGCTAATCTCTACACCTGAGCTGGTTTCGTTTGCTTGCCGAGTACCATGAGCAGCTTTTGCAGGAAGTGTGTGAGGCTTACTGTAAATTAGAAGAACGTTGCTTGCATTAGTTGAGCACTTGAGAGCCACTAAGTTCTACTTGAGTGCGCTACAGTGAACAACCAAGTGGTTATCCACACACGTTAAAGAGTGCTAAGGAAACGTGGAAGCGGGCCCAAGGCCCGATTGTTAGTAATTAGTGTGTTAAATGCAGGCAGGCAGGATGAGTATTGGTTAGTCGATAGTGTTGAAAAACAAACTTAGGAAAACTAGGATAAGGAGCAAACTTAAAAACCTTTGACGCCGCTTTGGGACGCACAACCATCATCAGTTTTTGCAGTACTTGTGTGATTCCGCCTAGAAGAATTGCAAGGTACGGGAGGAGCACAGCGTAAATCATATATGAAACAGAATTGCAAAATAGTTTCGTTTTATAGGTGAGCTCACGAGAAGGACAAGAAGCTGAACCAGGTACAGACAGGTGTGCCACAGGTTGACCCACTTCTCAACTTACCCATCGATTTCTGGAACCATATTGGCTTACTCTTCCAGGCAATGAAGACCAAGTAGACGGGTATGCTCGACAGTATCATGAGGATGCCGTAGCCAGTCTCTACGGGACTGGCATACATGGGGACGACAGTGACGAAGACGGTGGCAATTAGATATACAATGGGGAATACCAGGGGCACGCGAATTGGGCGTGGCAAATTGGGTTGAGCCCAGCGCAGCCAGGGCAGGCAGAGAACCGCAACGCCAATGCTCAACTGTTGGGTAATAGAAAATTAACTGTCTGACAAATCAAATTAAATGGTCCGACGAAACTCACCCAAGTCGCAAAGCCCACGTAGTTGATGAGCGCGAAGATGTCGGAAACCGTCAGATATAACATGGATAGCAGAGCCATGGCCAGCACAGCGGGCGTGGGCGTGAAGCGTTGAATTTGAATCATGGTTAAAATCTCTGGCATCTGCCCCTCATTCGCACCCGCGTAGAACAGGCGCGAGGAGGTGAGCAAAATGCCGTTGACGGCACCGAATGTGGACAATGCCACAAAAACTGTGAAGGAAGTTGAAGAAAATATTTAACATACGCTGACTAATTGGCATTCTTTGGCTAAACCACACTCACCTGGTATGGTCCAGGCCAGCATGCCGAATGCGCGCTCCGCATAGGTAACAGCCACCGCAGAGGACCCCAGGACCTCCTCCGGCGACAGGATGGTGTAGAAGGACACATTGGCCATGACGTAGACGACGGTGACAAGCGTGCAGCTGATGGCAATGGCGCGTGGGAGATTCTTGACGGGATCCTTCAGTTCCTCAATGATGAAGTTCAAGTAATTCCTGTCAGCAAGCAAGCACAAATCCAATTAGAGCAACCAGAACAAACCGGGCGACAGACAGAGCAAAGCCGCTTAACGCTTACCAGCCATTGTAGGCGAACAGGCCCGAGTAGAAGGACAGCGCCAGGGATGTCACGCGCGTATCGCTGTTATCGAAAGTGAAGTACTTCACATTGCCCATAGAGAGCTGGTACATGCCAGTCGCAATGATGATAAATAGGGCCAGCAGCTGGAAATGCCAATGTCCTGCTCTGTAGTAAGCCCCAACATAAAGTTGCAAATCTCATTTAACTTACTTTTGCATATGTGAAAATATCCTGCACAGCGGTGGCCCATTTAACGTCCCAGCAATTGATTAATGTTAGCACCACTGTACAAATAAAATGAAAATAATAATGAATACAAAGCTGCCAGAGACTGGAAGAACGCATTCGGGGTGCCTCAACTATGCGGATGATGTAATAAACCTAGGATTTGCGCAATGTAAAAGGCATTGACTTTATTTCTTCTTTTCTGCTATAGCTGGAGCGCGTAAAATTCCGCATTATTGAATCAATATTAAATAGGCACTAAAACAGACACAAAGTGACCAGCTAGCTAGTCAGTCGCCGATTGACAGCGAGCTGAAGCTGCCTGAGTTATGGTCTGACATTTGGATAACTAACTGTGAGATGTCAGGGACTAACTAACATAAATCATCTGACTGAGTGAGAGTGTTTAACACAGCCTTGTAATGCAATTATAAATCGAGTAAATCTGAATCGATATAAATCATATACAAAATCTGATATAATATAAGTTATTACCATTTCAAGACTTCTTAAATCTGTAAACAAAAGTTAAAAAATTGACTTCACTTCATCTCCTTTTAATAAGTTTAGAAATAACTTATATACAAATATATAAACAATAGTGTTCAAATTATAATCGAAAATTTTCCGAGATTTTTCCAATCGAGCTCTGTCTGCCTTCACAACACAGGAAAAAAATAGAGAATCATTTGCATGATGTTTATTTAGCCTATTTACCCCCAACAACAATAGCAATAAATAACAATAAAACAAAAACAATAACAATAAAACGGAAATCAAAGTGTCTCCCGCCTTGGTTACAGCTGCTGATAAGCCGATGGCAAACACTTTTCGCATACATGCGCGCATATTTACTCTGTTCTCGGGGGATCTGCTCGATTTGGGTCTAATCTATAGGTCAAGTACGAAACGCAAGCGAATGTACTGATGCTACGCGCCTCTACTATAATACTTTATATACTCACATATGCAGCAAACGGCGAGCAGGCGGGCCGCATCCTCGGGTGGAGCGCACTCCGGAAAGAACGGCTTCAGTACGTAGGTGCTGAATGTTAGCGCCACGATGGCCTGTGAGCAGGGTCGCACAATCATACACTCGATCCACAGGCGGATGAATGCCATGAAGGGTCCGAATGTCTCCATGATGTACGCATAGTCAGCTCCAGATTTGGTTATCATGGTGCCCAGCTCGGCGTAGCAGTAGGCGCCCACCTAAAGGGGATATTGCAGAGAGATGGGTGAGTGCTGTGCGGAGAATGGTTTAAAGTATTCTTAAAGTAATTGGGTTCCTTCAACCCCAAAGTGGCTGTCATTTCCTCAACTCAACTGTCATCGAGCACGCTGCGTATACTTAATTTCTATTGAATAGCAGCAGCAGCAATGCGTGCTCTTGACAAGGGCGTGTCAGTTCTGCGTGCTTGTGTGAGTGTGTGTGTGTGTGGGTGTCTGCGTGTACTTGGGTATGCGAGAATTTCAATAATTTCATTAAGAGACTAGACGCGGTCCGCATTCGTAATTGAGTATTGGTCCTGCTGACAGCTTTACGTTGGCATGCGCATTTCCATTTGTGATTACTTGGCTTTGCCTGCCCAACTGTTTACAAACAGCCAACAGGTGTTACCGGTTCTTGCATTTGCATATTGGTTAATCAATATTTATATGACACACGCGCCCTCTCATATCTTCCAAGTACTCACCATCGAGAAGAGTCCGGAAATGACCCACACAATCAATGCCAAATTTACGCTGCCCGTGTACATCAAGACGCCGGTGGGCGAGACGAAGATGCCGGAGCCAATGATCGAGCCCACAATGACGGTGCAGCCATTCAATAAACTCATTTTGGCTTTTAGTGTCACCTCCCCGCCGCCACCGCCATCGCCAGCTGCAGTCTCATCGCCGTTCGTCAGCTTGGTGGTGGCATCTCCATTGCCATTCACAATGGAGCTCTTGCGTGAGGAGCTCTTGCGGTTCAGCGACTCCGTTTCCATATTGCAGCTGAGATACTTGAAGAAGCTGCCTGAAAAATATTAAATTTTAAAAAATTAAATTAATGCACCAAAATTAAAACTAATATTGTTGATTAAAACAGAAATTAAATCTAAATATTTATAAGGCATAATGATTAGCTAAATTTATATAATCCCATTGATTACTACGAGCAATATGTATTATAATCAAATTAGATTTGATTTAACAATTTGCTGAACTTCAGTCAGGTTATTTTCTAATCAGATTAGAATAAATGCATATGCATTTATGTTAATTTAATATATATTATAATCAATAAATATGTATGTTTATTTATAATAGCATTCTATAGCGCAATGTTCTTAATATAGAAAGTATATGTTAGATTTTTAATGATATTTGGTTAATCCAGATATACATATACAATATATATTAATGGTGTTCTAGCTGTTGCTCCTGCGAAACATTTATTGTTTATCAAGAAAAGAAAACTAATTTTCATTCAACTTGGTTTGATATAATTTAATTTAATGAGATTCTGCTCAACGTAGACTTCAAGTTGGAGTTTTTGATTGGAATTAATACTCTGAAAAGAAGTATGTTAACCCTCTATTATATCTTGTTGATCTCAAGCATTGTAGATAATTTTGAGATATTCTTAATTTATCTTTAAAATGATAGAAAATCTATTGGAAATACGTTTTTCGATTCTCTATAGTATTTGGCTGAATCTATTTATAGCTTTATCGTAATTAGCTATCATTATTTACATTTGGTTGCCTGTTCGTATGGTTAACTGAAATACGTTTGTTTTGATTCAAAGATATATTTAGCAGCTGTTAAGATAGTTCCCCACGTTGATCTCAACTGGGCAGAGGCGTTCATCCAACTATTCATATTCAGTTCTTTATGATTTCTACTATTTTGCTAATTGCTAATTGCACAATAAGAGATTTACTTATTCGCCAATTGAGTAATCTATGTATTTGTGTGGCTTATACAAGTCAATTACATTTTTTATTTATTTTTTTTATTTTTATTTTTATTTCTCATGTGTCTAGCTCGGTCAAATAGTTTTTATTTCGACATAATCGTTTGCTAGAAATCTGAGTTCTAATGGCACGACTTTGCGCTCGTTATTATATTCTATTCCCTCTCTTTTATGTTACGTTTTTTGCTCTTGCTCGGAGTGAAAGGCAATCAAAGTTCATTGTCCAGTAAGAGGCGGATTATTTTATTTGCACCACTATATTTTACATATCGCGCATGGGATTTCAGCTCTCAAATCTTAGAGTTGGCAGCCGACGATTGTTAGGACAGCGCGTATTGTAACTTTTGATTGTGATTGACCTCATTATCAGTTGATTGGTCCAGCCACACGATGAGGAAAAACATGCCGTTCAGATTACACCGGGTTCGTTAAACCAACGAAAATTTTAGGTAAATAAAATGCTATATACCGCAGATTGATTGTTGACAGTCGCTGCGCGTGTTGGCCCATAAAATATGCTTTCCAAACACATTTTCCTCGTGAATCAGTTCAAGGCTGTTGAAAGCAAACAAAAAACTATCAGGCACCGCCCACTCAATACTCTCACACTCTCGCATTTCAGCTTTGATTAGGTCACAATGTTTGTATTATACGTGTTTGGTATATGTATGTATATAGTGTATATATGAATTAGCATAACATTAGCGCGAGAATAACAACAGATGTGAATCAACTATGGTGCGACAGTTAATACAAACAGGTGAATAAACTAATAAGCTGCTAGTACAAAGCATTCAGATTTACTCTTTTTTTTTTAGCTATATCAAAGGTTATTGTGATAAAAACTGCTGTGTATGTACAGGGCTGTACAGGGTATATAAAGGTATATTGCTAATTAGCCACCTGAAGTTTTTTTTACGGCTTCACAGTTGGGCAGCCAAGCCAAACGAATTATTATACACCATCAGGAAAAGAGTCGAAAATCTAACTCCATTTGTGTGGAAATCAGTGCTGAGCAATTCGTGCAAATTGCCGATTGGAATTTCAGTTTTTAATTTGGGGTTTTCTCGATACCGGATAAACTGAAACTTACAAAGACTGTAATAAGAGGGAATACCTCTGAAACTCACAGCATTTCTTAGTCATATCTCTGTGTAATGTGAGCGTGTGAAAGGCAAGCATAATTATTGGTATTTAACAAGCCATTAGACCCAACAATTGTCTATCATACTTGCATGTGCTGCTGGCCTTTCACTCTTCTGTTCACAGTCATTAGCCCCATTAATATATATTTTTTTTTTTTGCCCAAAATGACAACAATAGTGAATCGATCCATGCAGGCTATGTATATTAGGGTACTGCCCGATTTGTATACATTAAATCCATTAATTTTGATAGCGTAAACATCATACCAAAGGTAGTTTGTGTAGCTATCTATCGCCTCATGTGTGTGTGTGGTATATTCATGGTTGGGCTATCAATTTTTGTTTCACACAGGTGCTATAAGCATGCTGCTATTCTATATTATAGATTTCACATCATTCGACTGACTAATTAAGCTATTATCGCATTGCAAATTGTGAACTGGTTGGATTCCTGATATCTTTCGCGTGTACGCATCAATTTGGGCATTAGAATTGAATGATTTTTCTGTACTTCTTTTCTTTTTTTTACATGTTTCAAATAAGATATTAGTCTCGAAACACTTGTTGAAATTACGATTTTGGTTGGCTAACAAAAACAATGAAAACATATATATTTCAACATTTTGTTTTCTCGCTTTTGTTTTCTCCCAAATCAAAGCACACAAAAAACGCGCTGAGAACAAATATCATCTTCTTGGATTAAGCCAGGCCAAGAGTACACACAGTTGTTTAATTATTTTCTTTCTGATATTTGTGTTGGCTACCTTCTCAAGAGCAGATACTACACTGTTTCGCGCCACTAAAATGCGTTTAGCGGTGGGCAAGTACGACGAGAGCTGGAACCGCACGCAATCAGCGAGTAGAGCAGACTGAAAAGAGCGTTGGCTGCGACACGGCATCTTAGCGCGGCAATCTCGGCAAGAGCACGAGAGCCTCGGCCTGGCTGGCAGCGAGCATCACCTACACGGCGCTGATAAAGCTCTGCGCTGGGGCCGAGCTTTGGGCCGTGTCGGCAGAGCTTGATGCGGCTGTTGCGCTACATCGAACTTGTCGGGGTTGGCGGTTCGGTTGGAGGGCTCGTTCGCATATAACCGGCATTTTTGAACTCCTAATTTTTGAACCGAAAACGAGTTTTCGAAGCGGCGATTGCCGCATTTCTTTGTGTATTTGGCTTTCATCAGAATTGTTGTTGTTGTAGCCGTAACAAAGGCAGTGTGTGTGAGTGTTTGTTGTTTTTTGTTTTTTGTTTCTATGTTTTACTGTATTCTCACAACGTGTTTGCCTTTAATTGCCAGCAAAGCGGAAAAAGTACGCGTCACTTTTATCTAACAGACATAAATATACGCAACTCTAGTTAATTAGCAGAATGCCGTATGCTTGCTCTGACGCTCTGTGCCAACACGTTTTTTATTTTAGATGGAGATGGTACACAATAGTCAGATAGTACATGTCTCATATACATATGTTCTACTGTACCAGCTGTCAGCACTCAATAGTAGTGATAGATACAAAAGTATCTATAGCATGGAGATGAGCATACAATACACATAATGAATTGTATCTTTCACACTTTATCATCCGCTTAGTTATGCAAATTAGATGGCAGCATCAAAGATTTGAAATCCCACAGTTTCTCGTTTGTTTGCTACTCTATAATTGAATATATCCGCACTCGGGGCACCGTCTGTCCGATATTTTAATGCGAATTCTATCTCTGCCTCGATTGTCACAATGGACTCAACTAAAGACGTTTGCAATTTCGCCATTAGGCACACAAATAGCCTACGCAATTTAGCTAATATTTGATTAAAGTTGTATTCTTAGGCTGGAGCGAGCATACTTAGATATCTTTTCAGAGTCTGCAGAGCCTCACAGTGGCTCATGTGTCTATTCTCTATTATGTTCCATTTTGAAGTGCTTTATGTGGTTGCATTGCTCAAGCTCATGCTCAGGTCCATTAGTCACTTAAGCAAACAAGTGTTGGGGCGCCAAAAACGTCATTGAGTGAAGGTATACATGCTTTAAGAGTCATTGAATGTAAATTTCATTTGAATCTCAAATTGTCGACGTCGGCTTGTTTAGCTGTGATTTACAATATGGTTTGCTTAGCTTTGATACCGATGCTGTATGCAAATCGAATTCCATATGTCAGTTGCCAGATGCCAGATACCTCAGATGCTCTCGCGTGTGACGTGTGAGGTGTGACGTGGAGCTTTGTCCAAATGGCGTGACAAATATTGGCGATATAGCTTTCGATTAATTGAATTACCATAAGGATAACTGGTTTAATGCAACCTGAACACATTTATTGATTTCTGAGTGAGCTACTGATTTAGTCGATTCTATGAGGTATTATAGAGGTAGTAAGTGCTAATTATTAGCGATATACCCACATGCATATATTGAATATTATGTATTTGTTTCAAGAGTGTATTTTCATTTCGTTATTCATGAAATTAGTATATGCGCATTATATGGAAACAAGTATGGCAAGTAACTGTCCTAACCGTTTGATTAACTGGCTAATTCGCTTATAAAGTTTGCTTTAGCTAATTAAAAATACTTTTGGCTACATTCTGTTGTTCAGTTCATTATACAAAGATTCGTAAATTGGTGAAATTTTATATATTTCACTTTATCTTTGGGCAGCTTTATTAAATTACAATTTTGTTGTGCGCTGCGATTGGCAATAAATAAGGCGCTTAGCCTTGACTGAAGATATATTGATTTGAGTACGCATAAATACATTAGCGTTTGGTTTTGATTTTTGTTTAAAATTTTTTTTATTTTTTTTATAATCTTCTTTTAGGGAGCAGCCCGAATTTGATACTCACACGCGTAAATCGCTCAATGGCAACACACCCTGCAGGACACTGGATAGGGTATTCAGAGTATATTAATTTAGCGATTAATGAAAAGCCCAGGGCTTTCCGAACAGTTCGTGCGGTTTGTGATTCAAGCTTACTAAGGTCTCATGTTTCGCTTGAAGGCTGACCAGCTTGATTGAGCGCATTGCATCAGACTTTCAGTTAAGGCATAAACTAATAAAAATCAAATTATATTAAAAAGTGCAAATCTACGTGGCGCCAAAGCGTCTAACAGTTACAGAACGGTGTGACGTTGAGCTGGGAGTATACATATATGGTATATGTGTGGGTGTGGGTGTTTGGTCATGGATGTGTGGTTGGATGTATAGGTGTGCGTGCTGTGACGTCACATGCGCGTACGCTGACATTGTTGGGGGACGCCTTTTTTTTTTGTCTTTTGCGTCCATTTTTGCAGCCAGAAATAGCGTTGCGAACGTCAGAAGGGCAAAGTTCTTGTCCAGCTCAGTGGGCTAGGCAAATGAAGGTTTTTATTTGTGGGGTTTCCTTAATGAAAACTTACGTTAATTGTTAACCCAGTCTATTGCTAATCAAAAGCGCGTTTTCCTTGTTTTATTCTCACAGCACAATGTCAAGGTCTCCCCAGCATATTTATAGCACAAACGCTTTCATCTTTCAATTTCACGTTTTATTTGTGTTAAAAATCAAATATTTATTTAAAAGTTTGACTACACTTTTAACACTTGAATTTGTTTGTTTCAGTTTTTGTGTTATTAATATTTATTAGCAAAATGATGGAGCCTCACAGCTTTGTTCCCTGTCGTGGCCACAATTCTCAGTGTACTAAAAGTCAGCGCATGGCTACAGCCTCTGAGAACCGGACCACAACGAAAAACGTGCCGAAAAACAAGCTCTGATAAGAGGATGCTAAGAGCATGAAGCTTGCAGTTTGCAGACACGAAGTCGAAGGAAAAAACCAAACCAACAACAACAACAACAACAATAGCAACTCAAAAAGGTCGCAGTTTCTGCTTTGGCCAGTCACGTTGTTGTTTCTCTTATTATATTAGGTTTGGCTCTGAAAATCGTTTGCGTACTTCAAATTATACGTTCGAGCATCACAGCGACGACAACCCTTGCGCTGCTCGTTAGCTACGCGAAGGCATTCATCAAATTCTGTCCGTCCAGTTATGCCATTTCTTCATGTCTTGCGTTGGGTTTTTCGGTTTTGGTTTCGCGCCTTTTGTTTTGCGCACCAAGCAATGGCCCAATGTGCTTTGGGTTGCTTTTGTTCGACATTTGCGGCTCTCCTCAGCAGTTTTTGCTGTTGTGGATAAGGTCAGCGAAGGTTGCTCTGCGCATGTCCTGAATTGAGCTTTGCACTGAACTTTAAATATGCCGAGTTCAAGTGCAACCCGATAAGAGTCTATCGATTTATATTAGATTATTATTGTTCATTTTCCTAGGCATATATACGTTGTAGCAGCCAGCTTGTGTCCGTAAGCAACTTTTGAACTGCTTGTTAAGGTCGCTATTTTGAACAGTTTTGCAAGCAGTGCGGTATGCTGTGAAAAGCAGCATATCAATAGTGGGTACCCTAGTTAACCAACAGATGGCGGTAATAATAGTACGACAAATTTTTTACAGTAAGAGAAACATGATTTTATGCTATAATTCTATTCTCAAAAAACTCTTGCATACTACCATTTAACAATTAGATTATAAAGTTGATTTATAGATGTAGATTATAGTATATAGTTCTTAGATTATTTGCATTTATTCAATTACACATAAAATCGAAGAAAATAAAATGGATTTGTATAGCTATAAATACTTCTTAAAAATTAAAATTTATGACCCTTAGTCAAACGAATGAATTTTGATAGGGATATTATATAATAAAAGCTGGCATGGGCAAAGTTTGGCTAAATTTATTGGTTAGTTTTAAATCAAGCGTTCATTGCATTGATGTACTGAAATACATACAGTTTTGTATTACATAGCAGTAAAAACGTGAGAACCGATGCACTCTGTGTGCAGCAGCCTGATCCTGTTTACGAACTGTTCATGTGTACAAGCAGCATTGTTGTGCGCTTAAGATCCGTGCATATGCCGTCAAACACCCACATACCTGAGTGCGTATATGTGTGTGGGTGTGTGTGTTTCTGTGTGCGTGTATGTGTTTGGCATGTGTGTCTGCAGTTGCAAAAAACACCTACGCACTATTGCACAACAATAAAAGCGCTGTCACCTGCCCATCTGGCTGCCTCCGGACGGCCTGTGGTGCTTATTAGTTTGTTTTGCAAGGTGGGGCAAAATCAATCATCGGGCACGAGCATGCGAGCCTGGACCTGGATGTCCACCTGAATTTGCGCCTGCAGAGTTTCGTTTGGTGTGTCCGCGATTCACGCCGGATGCCACGCCACCAGGATATGAACGCATTTCCAATCAACTCCTCTGGCGAGCTGGCAGGCAGCACAGCCCGCCTATTGTCCAGCTCTCGTCCATATTTTGTTTTTCTTTGTTAGACTTTCCATGTCACGCTGATGTTATTTGCTGCTCTTTGATCCCAACGTGACTAAAGTAATTGTTGCTGCCAACTGTTCGAATTGGAGCAGCTTCTGGATGTCGTGGGGCATGTTTTATTTTAGTTTTTTTCCATAAGTATTTTTATACCCTGAACCCATTGAAAATGGGAAATCAGGGTATAATGGTTTTGTGAAAAGTATGTAACAGGCAGAAGGAATCATCGCAGACCCCATAAAGTATATATATTCTTGATCAGGATGGCGAGCTGAGTCGATATAGCCCAGTCCGTCTGTCCGTCTGTCCGTCCGTCCGTCCGTCCGTCCGTNAGTTAATGGATACAAAGATTTTGTAATTTACAGATTTTGGATACCACGCCCCCTTCGCCCCCAATTTGTAAAAAACGCATTTCAAGTACTAGAGACTTGTGCTTTGAAATGTACACACATTTAAGCCATATGATTACGCTCTAAAAGTTTCATTAAGATCGTATGTCTACAAAAGAAATTATTCAACAAATAAATTCTCGTTATATTGCCCACACTGCAGTGCAGCCCAAGCGCAGCCGCTGCTAGCTGCGCAGTTTGCAAAGCGCGTGCTTATACGTGCATGTGTATGTATGTGTGCATAAAAGAAGTCCAGAATGATTAGAATATCAGTTTGGAGGGTTCAGGGTATCTCCTAGTCGAGCAGTCTCGACTGGAGCCTTCTTACTTGTTTATTTTTTTATTTTTTTATTTTGGCAAAAAACTTTAATGCCTCCCCATGTGATTTGCATTTTTTAATGGACTGTAAATGTCAGGCGTGGAGAAAGCTCCCATGCATTCATATGCCACACCGCCCATTGCCCATTGCTATTTCTATTGCTATCGCCTTGCGCACGAACGAGTTTTGAATAATTCTACATGCAGTTCGCACTTTTTTACAACATTTTTTGTTTCGGCGGTCCCGGCCAGTGGGAGCTGACGGTAAGCCGCTTACTTGGACAGTTGGAGACGTTCGCTCGGAGGCTGCTGCAGAATGCAGGCGCTTCCTGGCAGGAGCCACATGTGAGGAGGCATCCTGCTGCCATCTCCAATGAGTTGCAAAGCTGCTTTCGATAGCCTCGACTGGAGCTGCAGGCCTACGGCTGGGCTCCGTGCTTATGCAAAGTGCAGCCTTCTGCCATGAAATGGGTTTATGTTGATTTCCATGAAGGGGGAAATCAATTTGAGGCACATGGAGTGTGAGTGTGAGAAATAAGAAAGAAATTCAGCACGAGGCACAATCAAAACTTTCCTAATTACAAACTTGCTGCTGCTGCTGCTGTCGAAAAATCAGCTTAATACAATAACTGCGCAACTGGCTGGTAACTCAATGCGGCCACGCCCAGTGCCCATTGACGCCTACGGCTCAGCCCACTTATAATAAGTGCGAAATAAACTTGCGTTTTCAATTACCAGCACCAGGAGCTGAAGTCTTGAGCCTGCTGCCAGGCATCAAAGGATATAGAGGACGCCGTCTGCTGACAATGCCAAAATGCAAAGAGCAAAAGCACTTGAAAGAGCTGAAAATAAAGAGCAGAGAAAGAGCAGAGGCTACCCGAGGGACAGGGGAAAGGGGACAGGGGACGGGCGACAGTAGCTGAAATCGTTTTACTGCCAATTCATACTGTGTTATATACCCTGTAAATAGAAAATCTACGGGTGGTGTATGCTAATTATAGAAGAATTATTATTTACAAAATTATATATAAGAAAAATATGAATTAATCGATTTATATCTATTTTTACTTTTTGATAAATATTCGAATAGTCTTTTGTATCAATCAAACTATATTTATAAATATTCATTTAATTAATTGCTATTTCAAACCCACACTTGTTATGTATATTTAAAATTATCTATGAAAATATTTTAGTAACATTTCTTTATATATTGTTAACAAATTTAAAATAGAAAGAGCGGACAGAAATAATAAGAAGCAAAAGAACAAAAATCGTTTTTAACATTATCTCTCTTTCAACATTAACCAAAATCTTAACATTAACATTAGCAATACCATTAACATAAACAATAACATAAACATTAACAATAACATTAACATTTAACATAGCTTGAGTATGTTCAGCTTTACCTACTTCTGCTCATCTTTTTCCATTCGTTCAGCTCCTCTTAGAGCCGATTATATATTCGAGATTAGAGTTAGCTATGCGTAAGCCCAGCCACCGGTTGGGTTATCTCGACTTGGCACAGTCTGTTGGCGTCTTAATTTATTTAGAGCCATGTGCAGTTAGTCATCTGACGACATCGGCGCATCAGAAAGCCAGCCATTTGAGGCTCTCCGGCTGTAAAGGATAAAGTTTATAATTTCATAGAGTTACCCGCTCCGCATTTCCGGCAAGACAACGTCTTGAATTTATGCACTGAATTAATTATGCACGTACGTCGCGGGCTTTTGGCTTTGACTTTGACTCCATTTGCCAGCTCCAGCTCCAGCTCCAGCTGTGTTTGCGCTTGCGTCCGAGCCGGGTCGTCTGCTATGCCTTTGTCCCAGCCCATTTGCCAGTCTGGTTAGTTTGTGTTTGGTGGCATCGTGGCGTTGTCGCCGCATTTAAAATAATTGCACCGCCCTGTCTGCATAAAATGAAAAACTGAGAATTGGGAACTGGGAACTGGGAGCTGAAAAACTGAAACTGGCAATTCGTGTGAAAAGTTTACACAACGCTTTTGGTATAAGCTTATAATGGATTTGTTAGCGGGTTTGTTGCGCTTCACTCGCAATGCCTGTGGCCTGGTGTCTGTGCAACCGCAACAACTGGAGCTAACCCACGGAGCTGCTTATTGGTGGCTTCTGCGTTCAGCTAATGTAAATTATGGATAGTGCTAAGTGCCTGAGAGGCCTTGAGCTGCCATAACGACTGCAACTTAAATGCTTGACTTCATTTGCATAGAAGTGCGCAAAAAGTTTCATAAAGTACGAAAGTTAGTTGAAAGGCTGGAGAAAGTAGTATTTATTAGCAGGCGCTGATACAAAAAGTAATGCTGAGATGCAAAAACTTTGGCAAATGTGCGATGCATGTGTGATGATGGATAATTTGCTTAAATGAAATGGAGAGTAGAACTAAATGAATATGAATACGAAACTATGAGCAGCTTATAATGAGAGTATAGATGTATAGATGATAAGATGAAATTGGAGAATATTTTACTTTTACGGCTATTCCTATTGTCGTTTTCCACTTAGTGCTTGCTGTCCTAAAAGTATGCAATATAAGTTTATGAACCAAGAATGTCAAACCTCTTCATCTGCTTTTCATTTCTG